AGTCAAAAGTATTTTGCTTCATCCATAAGTATTTATGGACTCTGTCCTTAAGTACTTTCTTTTCTGTAAGCTTTTAATCAGATTATCATCATATGTTTCCATGGTATTTTTAAGTTGCATCCTAGGATCTGAAGATTCAGAAATATGTTAAAAGAGAAGGACTATTATCCCTTCTTGAATAACACTCTTAGAGGGAAAGGAAAAGAAATTCTATTCTTGTCCCTTTGGGGCTTCATCCAAACCTAAGACGCCTCCTGTTCCAGCTGGAAATGAAAAAAAAAAAAAAGGAGCCCGTGGAACGTGTTCCTCCTGCTGGCGGGAAACTCCTCCAAGCTGGGATCGAGACTGGGTAGGGAGACCTGAGCACAAATGACCATTGTCACCAATGGCTTAACTAGATTCATATAGGGATGAGCTTCTGAGATGCATTAACGCCACTGTTCCTCTTCTTTTTCTCTCTCACTTGTTTATAACATTTAAAAATTAATTTTCCCTAAAAGGCTTCAAACCTGCTCTAAAAGTGGTGGCCCATGGATTTCCTCTGTTCCCTGTGCCATGCCTGGAACCATGGAGCAGCAGAATTTGTGCAATTTTCAGAGCGCTTTGGACAAACCCATCTCCTCCGTCCAAGAAACATGCCTCCAAGAGGCAAGACAGGAAACCTTCTCTCCCTTAGAGGTCTACCGTGGACTTGAGTCTGAGGTCTCCTCCCAGCAAAACAGAATCCTGAAGTTTTCCAATGCTTTCCTGTGTCCTGCGGAGCTCTGTATTAGGAAGGGATGCAGCAGGTGTTAAGGGGATCCAAGCTGGCTCTCGACAGGGACGGATGCTATGCGCCAGGAATGGCATGACTGGGTAGGGCCCCTGGGAGGCGGTGACTGGTGTCTCCAATGATGTCTTCCGAAAAATCTGTGTATTCTCAGTCCCTTACGGTTTAGGTGTTGGAGGCTACATTTTCACCTTCAGAATATGATTGCTGGGACACAATGAAGAAGAGTTGACATTTTATAATACTGCCATTGCTCCTAAGTGGCCACGTGGCAGTCCAGTACTCAGGGGTAATTGAAAGGATGCCAGCTAGGCATCTGACATTGAAAGCTTTGAGAGAAGGATTAAAGAACGACATGATTTAAAGTAAAAACAAAACACAGACACACAAAAGAGAAGGGGTGCTGAGAATGAAAGCGACATCTGCTGTTTGATGGATGTGTGCCAGGTTCTCTGTTTGGAAATTTGTTCGCATTATTCCATGGGAGCCGCACGGTGGAATTAAGAAGCAGGTATTAAGTATTTCTCAGGAGACGGCCAAGAGGAGTCAAGCAATTCGCTCAAGGTTACACAGTCCACAAGTGAAAAGGTTGGATTCAAACCCATGTCTATTTCCCTCCTCCACTTTCTGGGCAGGGACTTGCACTGGCCATGAACAGTTTCTTTTACCCCATTCTTAATAAAGATCATAAGGTGGTGGTGAATGTCACGATGCTTACAGGGAGCATGGAGACTTAGTCGGGCCATCGTGAGGGTGGCGTGTCTGTGCACGACGATAATTGATGGCGATTTGCAATCGTTGAGCCCTCCACCCACCACTCTGTCACTCTGAAGTCTTCTGACCTTGGTCGTCCTAATTTTGGCCTTTATCTGAGACAAAACAAGTGACTGTGTGAGAAGAAAACAGAACTTCCTAAACTCAGAAAACGGTTGCAGAGAATTTAAAGATGTGTATGTTTCAACTGCAATTCCGGTTTGGCAGATGAACATGAACATTTTTATAGGAAGAAATGTGCAGACGAGTGAATTAGAATATGTTTCTGTGCCTGTTGATGATAAACTTTCAAAACCTGGCTTAGTGAAGGGGCCGTCATGAAGAACTAGTTTTGGCATCTGGGACGACAGGTAATTCACATCCACTTCTTTTGCGAGCTCTCGATTTCCCTGATTTTGCATCTACAAACCATGGAAATGTTTCCAAATTTTCAGTATAGTCAGACTCAAGCACACATTCAAGGCCCTCAGGCACAATAGGTGCTCACTGAATGTTTGTTAAATCAATCAAATCAAATCAATAAATGTGGCAGAGGGAAGGAGGGAGGGAGGGAGAGACACAGAGAGAGAGAGAGAG